TGATTGTTCACCACCAGGATTTGGCGACTGGATCACCTAATCCTCAGTCGCCTTTTAAAAGGGGGAGTATATAAGGTATTTCTCCCCCTTCTTATCATGTGTGCGTAGTGCAATGGTTAGCACACTCGGTGCGTATCCGAAAGGTATGAGATTCGAGTCGCGGCAAGGGAACTGTTGATTTTTCATATCTCCTGCTTCGGAATAGCCTAATGCATCTGCAGTGTTTGAACCAAATTGCTAAAACTTGAATGATTAATGCATTTTTTTAAATCTTTCAAGGCTGTAGTTCCGATTTAAAAGAAAGATTTTGCAGATATTACTCAATATATTATTATTTCAGTCATCGTGTTATGTGTAAAATGCGTCTTAAAATATATAGTACTAGAGAGCATCAAATGTGTTATTTCCAACATTTCTCTTACCCTGTAATTTAATATGCATTTTTCATTTTATTAACTCTTTCGCATCGAAGTCGCCCCAAACGCCCAAACATTCAGACACGCGGGACCCCGAACCTGAAAATTTCCTACCCATGCTCCCCCACACTTTACTGCATTACTCCTCTTTCAGGTGTTAAATCCGTGTCAATAGTCTTTGAAGCTACTAAAGTAGCTTCCTCTTTTTCCTTTTCCTTCCTCCTTTGTTTACTGTCATGTTTAGCTTTGATGCCCGAAGTTGCATCCTCGTCCAAGGGAATTCACCAGTTCAAATCGTCGAGAAAGAATCCGCTTTACTTAAGTCGGCTTGTTAGCTCTGTAGTAATTCAACTTGTCTTGGGGGAAAACATTCCGAGAAATCTTAGATACGGGTGTTTTCGATGTTTGGAATGAGATTTTGCCCTCTCTCGATGCGAAAGAGTTAAAGCGTATTCCCAGTCATAAGCACAAACATTAATTACATCGAATTAGAATTCATATTAAAGTAAACAGTGTCATTGATAGTAAATGACACTGTTTCACGTTTATTAAATGATGTAATATATAGAATACAATGATCAGGTAACCAGAACGAACAAATAAAGGAAGATGAAAAGTAAAGGGATTGAAATTCTAAATTAAGAACCTACTGCAGTTCTAGCAGCGAGCAGCATTTCGAATGTGAATGCATCCTCGATCTCTTGTCTTGAGGTACTTACATTCGCACCCAACATATTAGCTGCTTTCATCATTAAACTGGTATAAGCATCTCTGTATTTACGGGTCCAGTACATTTCATTGGGCATTCCTAATGATGCGGGGCTCACCTTCAAAGATAAATAGAAATACGTTTTGCGTGAGTTTACAAATGAACGAGTTAATGCTTTGAAAAACAAATGCTGTTATATGATACCTTTTTTGTTTGCTTTGAATATTAAAAACATCTTCGTAAATAAAAATTTCAGAAGCTTAATTTTCAGTCGTTAATTAATTAGATTATTCCAATTGAGCAGGAAATCTTTTAAATTAAATGACCTTGTAAGGTGTTTTTTCCCTCCTTTCTGCATGCCTTCGTAGTGTATCGATAGCACACACGACGTGTATTCTAGAGGTCCAGATTCGAGTCCCGGCAAGGTCATTGCTTATTTTTCATGTCTTCTGCTTCAAAATAGCCTAAGGACATTCCAGTGGCGCCCGAACTAAAAGGTGATGGATGATGATTCTTCACCGCCAGGATTTGGCGATGTCCCCTAATCCCCGTCGTCATACAGGGGGGTAAAATGGTTTTTCTCTCTTCTGCATTCTTCGGGTGTAACGGTAGCACATTCGGCGCATATTCGAGAGGTCCAGGTTTGAATGCCGGTGAGGGTATTGCAATATAAAGGTTTATGAAAAATATATTTTTATGAATAATGATATTTTTCATGTCTCATAAACCTTTATTGCAATATAAAGGTTTATGAACATATTTTTCATGTCTCCTGCTTCGAAATAACCTAATTGCTCTACAACGTTCTCATCATTAATCGTTTGCGTGCCCTTAAATTATTAATATACTAGCAATATAAAGGTTCTTTAATCTAATTTTTTACCACATGTTCACGGATAATCCAACATCAGCGTAAGCTTCAGCCAGTTACGAATTTTTGCCTTATGAGGGCATTTCTAAATAGTAATACTAACAATATTAACCATAATAATAGTAACACTAACAATATTAACCACAATAGTGATGATGCGGGGATGATGATGACAGTACTTAAAGTTCAGCTATGAAAAGTGTCTTCTCACAGCCCTCACAGAAACATTCTGGCTTTTACTAAAGCAACTCCTACAGAAAAATATCACTAAAATTTAGAACATTTCAAATGTTGAATCACAATTAGGAAGACAATCTCACAAAACCTGGATGTTCAGCATTAATTGCCTGAGGTGATATAGCTGTCAGTCGAAGAGGAACTATAAATCTGAACCTGTGCCTAACGGAGACTTTAGTCTGTTAGACACTGGCTCAGATATCTGGTTAGGTATGCATATTCATAACTGATGTAAATTTTAAAAATGTTGCCCGACTGTTGGTTAAATGTTATCCGATTTAATGGTTCAATGTAAGAAGTAACATCTCAGCAATAGTTTATGTTTCCACCAGTTTAAGGTAATATGTTGCAGCCAATCAAAGCAAAGCATTCAGCTCGTGCCTGTGTTTAAAAGTTTATGGCGGCTGTTAGCATGTGTTCGCGGATACTTTACAGAGTGTTTGATAATTATAAAGTATGCATATTTTTGTTTATTTCTTATAACTATATTTGGATTTAAGTATGTGCATTGAAATTCGAGTATTGATAAAATGTAATATACAAAATTACTGTTAAAACCTGTTCGCAGCAATTTTTCAATGATTTTGTTGGGAAACACACCTCGCCCTCAAGCACCGAGCACTTAGCACCTAAAGCACGTTTTCAACATTTTATTCTTACTAATACATTTAACGTAGCTAAAAAGATCTTTGGAAAGAGTTTCCGCAGTATTTCTAGGTTAAATGTATTATTTATAAGATTACGTGTATTTCTGTATATGTTAGTACTACAGGGTATACTTTTTATAGCAAACATTTTTAGGATCCTTCTTTTACATAGATATAATATCCCTAAGATGTAAACAGATATCTTATTTCAGAGTGGAGTTATAAAGCTCAACGTATGTAAATATTTTAAACTTTCAAGATTTCATTGATGAGGTACTCTCTTTTCTATATAATCGTAATAATATATGCTATATATTCAGAGAAATTTGCTACTTCATCCTAATATTAAATTTATTTGCATAGACAAATAAGCACTCCCATAGCAATAATCGAATAAAAATCACCAAACGTAGGATCAGCAGAAAATGGCTAATAAGAAGTTTTACGCCTGAGCTCTATACTTTATCTTCAGGACACTTGGGGCGCAAATAGCCAATTCAATGAGAACGAACTGTAAATGGTTCAAGGATTGCTAATCATGGTAAAGGATTCTCCGCCTTCTAGGCCGCCTGGTGTAGTTGGCTGCCGCTGGGCTGGTATCAGAGTCCGGGTTTCAGTCCGGCGAAGGCGTGCTATTTTCATCTGCCTCTTCTAAAAATACCTAATGTCTCTACGTGGCGCCGAACTAAAAGGGTTGTGGATGATGATCTCTCCGCACCAGGATTTGCGGTTGGTCCCCTAAAGCCCCAGTCGCCTTAAAGGGGGAATATAGGTGGGATGCATCGTTCATTATAATCGCATGAGCGACAAGCTTGAGAATAAATCTTTCCCTTTTTTCCTAATGATGAAGTAACGATTCGCCATTAATCGATGACGCGACTGAAGATTTTACATGTAAAAGCGCGATCTCTTCACTGTATTCATCTATTAATTCATCTTTCTACAACATGTAATCATTTTTTGATTAGAATATTTAGGTTTCATTAAATTTCGAGTTATCATAAGTCGATTGTCATTTCAAGCCCCTATACACCCACACGAGTAATTTTACAACATCATATTCCTAGACGTAGTACGATTCTACATATATAGGTATTTTCCGCCTCCTACGTGCCTTCTGGTGTAGTGATCTCACGCTGGTCGGTATTCTAAAAGTCCGTGGTTCGATTCTCGGCGAAGGCGTTGCTAATTTTTCATCTTGCCTGCTTCTAAAAAATACCTAATGTCTCTACAATGGTTCAGCATATTGCCGATCCATGAAGTACTGTGCCCCCAATTTATGATTTAACATATTCCCAATATTGTTCAACATATTCCTAATTCATTGTTCAACTTTGCCCATTCATGGTTTAGCATACTTATGGTTTAATATATTCTCAAATAATGATTTAACCAAAGCATTAACTAACTGAACAAGATTTCGCCATCTCTTGTTTGTAAATGTTTTAATAAAGTTTGTGAAACACTGAACCAAATTTTTAACAGCGGATTGTCTTGTAAAAACTCCATTTGGTAATTTATTTTTAATTGAGTACCTTCAGAAACTTTCAATTTTAATTGGGATTAATTTCAAAGTACTATGCATTTCAGTTCACAGAAGTACTATGCATAAATTAAACAATTCAGCATATTGCTGTTCTGATGAAATTTAGATAATTGCGATTCTTCCATACTGTTTCCTACATACCCTAAAAGTTTTAGGAAATAATTATTATCGTTATTATTCATGTTGTATCATCCAAGATACTGATTAAGAATTATTGCGATTCAGCAGTTGTTGTGAACCGATGTTGCTATTTGACATCATGATATTGATCTCCAAAGAAACTCGCATGCTGCGTCGTGACAGATTTTTAAACTTGTAGTCGTTCCATGTATCTTCTAATATTATGTAGGTTTTTCCTCTTAAAAATCTGTTTTTGTGTAAAGATGTATTGATCATTTGAATTAATGTCTCTCGAAAGACTGCAGATGAAACGAAGACCAGCTAGTGGCCTGGCAAGAACCCGCTGCTTGATTAATTGAATTTGGAATAACGCATGAATAAACTTTGATATTTGTGAAAGTATTACAAGTGTAAACACCTTGGGCCATAAATTAACTCACCGTTATGGAAAGAATACGTTTAAAAGGAGCAGAACCGTAATCTTCCTTAGATTTCACCGACAGCAGTGTATTGTGATTGAAACCCATCTTGCGTATCCGTCTGAGTGTATCCAACCAGTCGAAGGATTCTGGATTCCAGTTTTGTCCTTCTAAAACAGGCCAGCCTCCAAGGGATTTTAAAACTTTCTCCAGAGGCTTGCTACTCTCTTTTTCAATGCTTTCTGTCTCAAAAATAAAATGAATTAATGAAAATAAAATTTTGTTGATACACTTCTAAAATAAGTCTAAAACTTTTATTACAGTTTCCTAAGCATCTATTATTAGTTTGCTCTATCTGCAACCTCTTCTAATGTGGTGTTCATACGCAAGTGTTCAAGAAGACATGAGGAAGATTTTACGACCGGGTATTAAACGGCTCTTTATCCGTAATGAAGTAACGTATGATATAAGAATAATGTATTTGAATTGCGTCCTTTATTAATTTATATAGTGGCTTCACAGCTAAGCATGTTTGAAATAAATCATAGGATGATCAGTTTTAATATCTGAAGTTAAAATGGCTGAAGTGCAGAAACGCCCACTTATTTGTTTGGCGTTTATTTGGCGGTTTCTACAAGAGTAAGAAGAATTGGATTTTTGTCCATTAAGTGAAAATAGGTCGATGTGTACATGGATTAGGTCGATGTGTACATGGATTAGGTCGATGTGTACATGGATAAAGTCAATGGAGTGTACAATGCCATTTTTGTGCAATTCTGGAATTTTTTTTAAGTGAAAATAGGTCGATGTGTACATGGATACCGAGTATGTGCAATTCTTAAAACCGCGCCAAGCAGTGGGCCATTCTGCACTTTCCCGGTTAAAATTATTAACGAGCAAACGAGGCAATATTAATTCCAAACGCATAGATACACATGAGTTTTATGAGCTTCATTAGATGTTTGCTTAGTTTGTGCACTCGACATCGACATCGACATCGACAAAGATTATCTTCCATTAAGTTCTTTGCAATATATTAGCCAAAGGAGTTCATACTTAGTTTTTTAAATATTTTTATTTCCTATTTTAACTATCTTCTAGTTGGTAATTACAGTCTGAAAATACCCACCTCTAAGCGCATTTAGTTAGGAAGTAGTTTAAACTTCATTTAGGAAGACAAATTGAGAAAGAAATGGTTAAAATGACGACTAATTTATTAAAATAAGTTAATTATTTTCCCCCCGGCCTTCTTTTATGAACAGTTTCAGTTCCGAAACAATCTTACCTGGCATTACCCGAGACTCGACCTGAAGTAGCTTTTGAAACTTCCAGCAGCCACCTCTTTCTTCAATAAATACTAATTAAAAATCAATAATTTATTAACATGCTAGAGGAATAATGCATTTTGCGTAACGCAGCGCTATCATTTACTGGTTTTATCAACGTATGCGCAAGTCGAGAGAAAGAAGCTCGGATTCCTTCTTTTGCCATTCTAAAACCACATTGCCCTTTACACCTCTTTGTTAAAGTCTCGGCAACCGAGTACATCTATTCTAATCACCAGAGAAATCATGTTTCTATCAAGTGTATGGGCAGGCATTAAAGGAGCATACGTAACAGAATAATGCAGGTACTCATTTACCTGACAGAAGTCCTGAAGTTGAAGTTGTAGTTGAAACAAGAAATAAAAAGGGCGCGTATGTTAAAACACTTTAAAATTCTGGTTAGATACTGGCGAAAGGTGAGATTTTACTCTGACCAGTTTCAAGCCGAGACAAGAGTCCCGCTTATTAATTTTATGGTATGTATTTTTCCGAAATGACAGCGAAACTAAATCTGACACATGCTTACAAGTAACGGTTTGATAAATCTTCTCTTGAAGAATTCTAGAACAAGATTTTTCCCGAAATTACAGAAGCTAGGTAATTACGAAATATCCTGTTTTCCACTTTAGGTAATCAATCTACGAACAAAACTCTCATTTAATATAAATGTATGTTTAAATCGACACTATTCTCTCTGTTTCCATGCTTTACATAACTAAGCTTATTAGCACAGTATTGTTACGTTTTTTCTTTTCTGACACCAGTTGTTGCGTTATTTTCTTCATTCACGTTCGCACGGGGTTCGTAGATTTGGAGTGAATAACGGCGACACTATAGTATCGAACACACTTTATTATCAATGTTATCAACAGCTCTAAAACACTTGACGCGTCGAGCTACTACAACAAAGTGAACAATCAGTGACACAGCCTTCACACTGCGGCAATAACGGGGAGACAGCTTCACTGCAAAGCACCCGAGCACTCCCAACTCTGGCTTGGTTGTTCTCGAACTCCACGTACTCTCGAGACTCTCCACACATTCCCGCGATACGAAATGATAGCTCTGACTCAGCGCAGCTATTACGAATTCGCGATGCACTAAAAACTCGATGCACTCGACACCCTCGGCGCTAACTCGAGACACTTCGCTCTATGACTGACTATCAGCTCGCTAACGAGACACATGCACCGATAAGAGACGCATACTTCCTCTCGATGAAGCACACTTACGATGTCAGACACGTGCCGTTTTATTATAGCTTTCGGCTGTTTTCGGAACATCTGGCTAAACGCGGTAAAATTCTTCCAGAAAATTCTCCGATCCGCCTGTATAGATATCGCAATTTTATCCCAATGGGAATTTCTTCCCAAGATGGCAACCCTGCTCTTCTTCCTATTTTATGGCAACCCTAAAACTGCTTTGCGGGAAAGCCATCTCACCGCGCCTTTACATTTCGTAACAATATTAACTAAATTTGTGGCTTGAAAATAATGTGCTAAGTTTAGGACTGAAATACACAGTTTGTTTCATGCTGTAAGAAAGAACTTCTGAATTTTAAATTACCAAATTATAACTCGCGTGAGTCAAAATAATAAAATAGTCTATATCATAGTTATAAGTCTGTTTTACAGATGTGTAGGTCTTTGTAGAGTTTAGGAAAGTGCGGGCTATATATAAGCTGTTTCAAATTTGAGACAAAGCGTGGCAGCAGAGGCACAGGGTAACACAAGAAACGAACGCCCTTCGTACTTTAAAATAAATTAAATGAAGATAAAGGGAAAGGACTACTCAAGCGACAATATGGAAATGATTAATTTAATTTTTATTGAAGCAAATTGGAAGAGGGTTGTTTTTCTAAAAATATATTTGCTTTCATGTAATGCATATATTTTCATTCACGTCACACATAGGGAAAATCACGAAAACTCTTACTTAACCAACATGTTTTCAGTCATTTGAACCCGCCCATGATTAGTATTCGAACCGCTGGTTTTTAGCCCGTACTCCGGAATTTGAATCACGATGAAGTCACGTATGCGGTGGTTTTACTATTAGCTTGCTAAAGGCTAAGAAATTGATCAAAAAACATCGAGAATGGAAACTGCAGCAAAAAATGGAAGCATGCGATTTTAGAAGGTCAAGAAACATTTTCTGAAAGATTATTAGAAAAATGTTCGAAGAAAAAATTTCATTTCGAAGAATCAACTGGTATTATGTTGGGCAAAGAAAGAACCTTATGTTTAGCGTAGAATTTAATTAAAACGCTATCGAGGTTGATGGCGAATAGGTACAGATCCTTCTTCATCAGAAGTAAAGAAATCTGCAAAGAAGAAGACAGCCAACGGTCATATTTATTCATAAAGCAAAGAAGTAAAGCGAAAGAGAAGATAGTGCATTCGGTTGGCAGAAATAATAAAGAAACTAAGTTAGTAGAATTTTAAAAGCGTTAGGATGGACAGGAATCGAATTAAAGTCAGTAACTGAAGAAGATGTGACAAGCTCCAAACAAAATCCAATGCACTATGAAGAAGCGGTTTGGATAATTTTTGCAGACCCAAATTGAAAATTGCGAAGATTTTCAGCTACGATTAGATTTATTAATTTCTTCTTTTTAGACTAAACATCTGTTCCTTGATATGAAACTAGCACTTTTTTTTTTTTTTTTCGCCGATGTAACTCACATTGACAAGATATCTATAAATTCAAAAGAACTGAAATTAGAAGTAGAATCTTCAAGAAACAAAACGTGTATATAACTGATAAATGAAACATTGACTTTAAAATTAAACTTCTGGAGAATCTGTTAAATTTGTAACTGACAGAAGGAGAAAATTGAAGATCGGCAAGGTTATTTATATTATTTCTAACAGTGAAAAGTCGGGAAGTCTTCTTTGAGAACCAGACTTAAACCAGACCTTTTAAAGAACCACATTTTTTTAAAGGCTCTATCAATGACAACGGGAGATAAACATCTGTCAGTGGCAACTGATCTAAAAAAATTGAATTTTTTAGCAAGCAAAGGCTCTGATGAACAGACTTTGAAAGCGAGAAATACATAATAGTAAAAAGAAGCCATTCTTTTTACTTAGATGGGAGGCATGATTTAGCGTGCGGAATCAAGCCAAACAAGCAAAGGAGGTTTTATTGTGAACAGTGGTGCTGAAATCAGATTCACAAACATTTATCTTGTTTAATTAATAACTTTAATTCCGAACCAGTCATTCCTAATATTTTTTTTAATTCTATTAACTTCTCTGCTTTCGGTATGAATACTGCCTTTGGCTATCCTCTTCTTTAGAGAATTTCTTTGTTCCTGTTGAAGTATGACCTGTACCTGCTCGCTCTCGAAATAGATAGAATCGTAATTAAAATCTACGCCAAGCACAAGGTTACTGCTTTCTCTATTTTTATGCTTTGGCGTGTTTCTCTTTTCTCTTGATTTTCTGAGTTATTTTTACACATTGTGTATGTAATAAATAATATACATTTGTGTAAGAAGCGTCCAAGCATCCAACAGACACCATACTCTCCTGAGATGCATCGAATAACGTTCTGATTTGGAAACTGTTGTATTGCAGCTGAAAGGAGTTCCAAGAACCTCAGTCTGTCATGGCGGAAATATGAACCTCTGTCATGGAAAAATACCTCTCGTCTACGTCCTCTCGTCTACGTCCATGAACCTCTCGTCTACGTCCATGAACCTCTGTCATGGACGGTCTGTCATGGAAAAATATCTCTTCCAGAAATCGTTTGAGCTAATTGGCAGTTATAATTGCGTGAAGAGCAGATTTCTTACTTTCTGTTTCCTAAGTAATTTCAAATTAACGCAATTCATTATTGTAACTGACTTTTTATTAGAAACTATCTTGATTTGACTTCTATTAAAAGTAATTTTTTGTAATGGTGTAAAATGTTCAAAAATCTACTGTGGCATCAGAAAAAAAATGCTCGTCTTTTTCTTTTATCACAGCCTGAAATTAAAAACCGGTATTCGTGAAATTACTTCATAAAGAACATGGGCTGTCACATTAAACAGACCCAAGGAGTAACCCATTGATTTAAAATGTGCGACGTGAAACGAAACTGCTCAATCATGTGAAAAAGATAGGTTTCAGAAAAAAATAAATACGCCTTATTTTAAGAGAAATGTTAAAGTATAATATCAGATTACCGTAAATAAAACAAAGTTATTCTTCATAGTCAACATACTGAAAGCTTATAATTGAAGAAACAATCAGAAATTTAAAAGCAAATCATATTCTATGAATTTGATGCTTATTTTTACAAGAAGTAATTTAAAATTTGCTCTATAAATAGTGTAATATAAAAAAGGAATTTTTTTTATGTTTCGCATTTAAAAAAGTGCGAAAAGTATAAATTTGCAATCAGACTTACCTAGATCCATGCAAGAGTCATACATTTCTTTTACCATGTGAATAAAATCAGGTTCCTCTCCCGTCAGTTCCTTTTCTAAGAGAACTAAGAGCAAAATAATATTAATATTTATACATAGAGCTCTAACGTTATCAGTAAGCATTGTAATATCAAATTTCCTGGAGTCTGTTAATAAAAAGAAAATAAAGGAACCATTATTTTTTTGGGAGGGAGGCCTTTCGACACAAGAAAAGTTATCCGGAGTTACGTTAAGTCATATAAAATGTGGCACACAAAATTCAAAAATTGCAAAATATGACTACCATTTTGTGCCATCTTATATGATGCAAGGGTGTTTCCGAGTTTCTGCAAATATAGAAGCATAAGAAATTATTTCTTTAATTTCTAAATTAGCTGAAGTTTTGGTATTGTCATAAGAACTCAGCACATGTAGAAATTGAATTGAAGACATACAATTATAAGCTGAAGTATGAACAAAGTTACTAATAAATCGATCATAAAATCTGTATGTAGGGCAGATAATTATACATAACGCATTGTTTCGAAAAATCTGCTCAGTATTTCAGTTCAATTTGCATTCACTTGCGAAACTCCATGACGTCAGCACGAGAATCGGACTGATGGTAGGTCAGTTTAATCTTTCCAATTAGCCTACAGGCCAATAATTCAAATCATAGTCAGATTATCATCCATTATTTGCTATTATTGCAGGTCATCCTCCATTATTTGCTAACTGCCTAAGATGGTTTCCAAAATTTTAAAGCAAATTCAGGACTGTACCTAATGAACCACGTTTAATGTTTCGAGATTGGAATTACAATGCTACTAAGTTTGATTTTTTAACATTCATATGACCATTATTATTTGTTTGGTATTACCAAAAATGAAAAAAAATGATACATTTTTAAGATAAACACTTGAAAATTTTGCGTCTTTAGACATGCGTTATTTTGCCTCTAAATCCTTATATTATCAGGACTTGTGTTCCTCTTTACTTGCTTTGGAAACATGAACTGTCCTGACTCGGAACAGGGAGCTTATTCAAGCTATGTTCATTAAATTGTGAAGTAGACAATACACACAGGAAGGGTATACGAAACCCTTTATTTTTCTATCTTACAGCGAACTTCGGAACTACAGAGACCAACCACTTGTGGTCTAACGTAAGATATAAAAATACTAACAAAAACTCTATAAAATAACTGGATTAATAACAAGTGCCTAACTTCAGATGGCCGTTATTTAACAAAAATCCGTATGTAGTACAGAGAGCTGAAAAACGATACATTTAAATTATTAAGAGGATTAAACCTTGGCCTTAAAGCAACCAGCAACGAGTAAACTACTATGGCAACGGCCTTCAAATAACTCCTAATCTCTCTGCTTGCAAAAAAGCCGCAACTAAGTATTGGCGTTAGCAGATAAATTTGCATAATAGTAAAGCTTTTAATTCTGGCCAAGTAGAAAATAAGAAGTGATAGTAAAGATTTAAAATAAAATAAACGTTAGTAAAACTTAGGATCCTTACAATATAAGCGTTAAAGAATGTATCTCTTTTGACGTACGAAAATAACTGCATTATTATTTAGATAATCGCATCCTTTTACATGCATAATATTTAATTTTTAAGTAACTGCATCTACTTATACTCCAGGCGTCGTGGAGAATTCTCTTGAGTGCTGATTAGGATCTGCACCTAGGCAGTCTCGGCACTGGGGAAGTAAAATCAGTCTTCGCAGGACTAGAACCATCGGTCCTTCGATGGTAGGTTCTGGCTCATCAGGGACCGTACTAGTACTGTCTTGTCTGCCCGTTGGCTGTGGGAATGCTACATATGTTGATACTAATTGGTGGTCCTCTGGGGTTTTGTGTCCGTTTGTCCACTCGTGAAAATTTCGTTTTTCTCCTGAGGTCAGGTTGTCACCGATTGGGGCCCGATTGCGACTGCTCGCAACAGACTGTTTTCAAGCAGAGGTAGCCTTGACTCTTGTGGACTGTATCCCTTTAAGACTTCATATTCTGTCCCCAATCAGGTAAACCGCGGGGGCTGCGGCTCTTTGGATCGCAACTAGATGTGGATGGGAGTAAATATACCTGGGTTTGGGTCCACCGTCTAGGGAGATACGAATAATATTTAAATTGAAAAATGAATACCATTATTTTTCCAGCTCATTCATAAAGGTATATCCTTGCCACGTTTTAGTGGAAAAGTAGTTTCAGGAATATTTGTTACCATATGGATTCTGAAGTTTTGTATATTTTTGCATTTCTTTCTGTTTTAAATCTTGAATCAGGAGTTTTCTAAAGTAATATTCAAGTCCTGTTTTTGCCAGAAAAGTAAAGAACTTTATTTCTGTGTTGGCAAGAGTTTTATTAGCAGAAAATTTCAAGTTTCGGTGATGCCAACGAGAGTTTAAAAATCAAGCTTTCCAGTTTGCTAGTTGAAAATGTTGACTACTACACGGTACTTGGCACATGGGAACAGTAGATTTTGTTCTTCACAGTTGTTCAAATGTATCGTTCAGATACTGACTTACTAATTAGTTTGCGTTATTTCCCTAAAATAGCAATGATTCCTAACTTTAATAACAGCATCAATATTTTGGAGTCTATATCTACATCAATATTTTCAAGACTTAAAGAATTGAGCAAAAAACAGAAATGTAGTATTTAGATTGAGAAGCTGGTAATATTAAGAATTTGTAATAATTCAATGCAAAAGTCTTTTGTATTAAGGAATTAATCAGTAATAACTGCATATATATGTATATATATATAAGGTCTTCCACATACTGCCTAATGCATTTATCTCAAACAAAATGGACTGTTGGTTAAACAATAAAAAAAAATTTAAAGTGTCGGAATGTCAAAACGAATCAAATTCCATTTACTTAGTTTTAAAATGAGGTTTTTCTAGTTTAATATGTAACGTTGAAAATAATAAGTAATCTTTAATAATAATAATTAAGCAATATTTTAAAAGAAAATCTTTCCCTTTCGTATTGTTGCGTGCGTACGGGTTCGTTATGAATGAATGCACAAGTCCAATGAAAATGAACAAAAATTTTATTATTATCACAACAAAATGCTTAAATTTCTCAAATTATCATGCAGTATTACAAATCTCACAGTAGTTATCTTTTTACTACTCAAATATCCAATAGAACGTAATTCAAAACAGCTAAAGAACGCTAATCCGCGAATTCGCTACAATCAACAAGAGCAGGTTTTTTAACAACAACAAACTAAGCAACTACTACAAACTGAGATGTTTTTCTCCTTTTATAAGATTTTAAAATCACCGCAAAAGAAGTACTTTCTCGAAATCAAAAGAGATATTTATTTATTTAATGCCACGCGCTCTTGTATTTTCAATTTCGGCTTAGCTTTCTTTTAATATTCGTCACGCGCTGCACTGCGCGAGAAATAAAACCATTTAATTTATAATGAACTAACATAGCTTTTAAATACCAAATTCGTAAACACTGCCCCTTCCCAAGGACTGCACGTCCGGGCAGTACAATCCCTGGACAGGAAGCTAAACTTACAACTGTGGCATAAATGCATAATAAGCATTACATACAATAAACAACATGAACAATAAATGCCAATACATAAAACAAATCAAATGCTATCAATACAAATCAATACACATTTAAAAAACAAAATGGACCATGGTCTTATACTCTTTACAATATTTACATTATGTACTATGGCCATAGAATAAGCTAACCTGTCGTAGAGTTCGAAGACTCACGGATCCGAACCACGACGTCATTCGTGTTCAGCACTGTGTATGGACCATCCGAAGACGACTGTAATTTAGGACTCAGTCCTTTTCGTTGAATGGTTTCCACAACCACACCTTGTCTCCTTTGTTGGATCTCTCTGTCTAGTAGCTCTCGTGTCGTATCTCGTCTTCCCTTTCTCCTTCGCCAAGTTGATTCGCTTTCGTGCAGAACGGTGCATCATTTCAAACCGGATGCATCATTTCAAATCGCCTGAGGAACACATCCAAGATGTCCATCTTGGATGTGTTCCTCAGGCGATGAAGGCACATCCGTATGGAGACTCAAACAGGCGGTCACAAGGCAGACGAGGTCTCGACCGAAGAGCATCTGGGGTGGAGAATAGCCGGTAGTCTGGTGTTTCTCTTCGACCCTAGTATGATTTCGGCAGCTTCCTGAGCTAGAGTCTTTCGGACATGAGACGTCGGACGTTTCCAAGGCGATGATCCCTTTTGAAGGATGGATCGTCATGCCATCAGATGCTGAAAGCAGCTTATTTGTTTTTGAAATCTAGGAAAAATTGTATTTCCTTAAAAAAAACCAATCCGAGTATGCATGGATCTGTAATCCGCCACATATGCCGTGTGATGGTAGGCGGCACTTCCAAACGTGATGTTTACGTTTAACTTCCCAGTTATGTCGATCTTGTCACCAGACACAGTCTGGAGGGTAACGCAGGGCGGCGTCCAGATAAGTTTGTTTCCTAGTTGTTGAGCCAAATCTTTTCGGATGATGGTGACGTTGGCTCCTGTATCTATAGTCATATTGCACGGAACTCCATTAATATGTCCTATTATGAAAAGTCCATTACTGCCGCCCTCTCACTGCAGAAATCTGAAGCGCGCTTTAAAACGGGGGCTTTTCCATTATCTGGCAACCTCCGCCCCGCGAGATAGCCACTAATTAGTTTTCCCTGCTGCTTGTTAGAAGCGGTCTTAACATCAGTACCCCTGGGGTGTTTTGCAGTTTCGTCGTATGTGTCCTTCAGCACCGCAGTTCCAGCACTTAACGGTCGGTTTTCTTCTCACCAATATTCCGTCTCAAGGCATCATCAGTTGTTAGTTAAATCGTCAATCGAGTCGAGCGGTGACTTGATCCCCTGGCTCCTGGACTTGAGCAGCTCTGACTGGGTGGCGGTCTCGACGAGTGGCTTGCTGGGCTGCCTCAAATTTCATGGCGTACACTAGAGCACTTTTTAAATCTTTTACATCCGCCATTCGTAGAGCTTTCTGTATTTCAGTATCTCGGATGCCGTCGATAAAGTATTGCAAGGACAAGGATTTCCCTTGTTTCTGTCAGGCATTCCGAAAAGGCGAGATGGGACAGCCTTTCAACATCCGCGGCGAGCTCCTGAAGTGTTTCGGTAGGCTTCTGTTGACGAGATTTTAATTGGAGCCTGCTGTAGTCTTTTAAAAACACTTCTCCCAAAGCGCAACTCGAAGGCGCCGGACAGAGCTTCGAAATCTAACCTTTTGTTTTCGGGAAGAGTCTGAAGGATATCCGCTGCGTCGGCTCTTAGAGAGCGGCGTGATGACAGGCCTTAGCTTGGGAATCCCATCCATTCGCATCCGCCACGATAGAAAATTGTGTCTTATACACCTGCCAGGAGGTCTTCCCATCATATGTGGATCTTCAGAGGTGGACGAGCAGGCATTGGTAAGAATTTAAAATCATCACACTCCTGCTCCCTGCCGACGCTACGAATTTCTTTAAAGTATCCATTTCTTTGGCAACTGCAGAAACTCTCTCATCAATTTGTTGTTCGATTTGGTGTTGGACGGCACGCAAACTCACTCTTCCTTCAATTCGTTCCTCCATCCACAGCAGAACTCTCCCTTCTATATATTCTTTTTACAGAAGAAACTCTTTCTTCTATTTCTTCTTTCACCGAAGAAACTATTTCTTCAATATGTCCAACTTTATTTTCAAATGCGTCAATTCTAACCTTCCATAGCTTCAAATTTATTTTCTATTATGCAAGTAACTTTCTCTTTTTCATTTCTTCTTGACCATCTTGAACGGCTTTCATTTCGTCCTTAACGGATTCCTGGCCCAATTTCATTTCTGCTTTAACGGATCTAATCTCTGCTTTAACAGAGTCTTTCATCTCTTCCTTTAAATGATGCTTGGCCAGCTTCCATCTTTTCTTGGAATGCAGCAAAAGCACTAATGAGCTTTCTCAATTGTTCTTCCATCGCTCTTGTTATTGGCATTCAAACCCCACTCCTGACAACAAAAAATTGTTGCGTGCGTACGGGTTCGTTATGAAATGAATGCACAAGTCCAATGAAAAATGAACAAAAATTTATTATTATCACACAAAAATGCTTAAATTTTCTCAAATTATCATGCAGTATTACAATATCTCACAAGTAGTTATCTTTTAACTACTCAAATATCCAATAGAACGTAATTCAAAACAGCTAAAGAACGCTAATCCGCGAATTCGCTACAATCAACAAGAGCATTTTTTTAAACAACAACAAACTAAGCAACTACTACTACAACTAAGATGTTTTCCTCCTTTTATAAGATTTTAAAATCACGCGCTAGAATTTTCCAAGTACTTTCTCGAAATCAAAAAGAGATATTTATTTATTTAATGCACGCGCTCTTGTATTTTCAATTTTCCGGCTTAGCTTTTAATATTCGTCACGCGCTGCACTGCGCGAGAAATAAAACCATTTAATTTATAATTGAACTAACATTAGCTTTTTAAATACCAAATTCGTAACAGTATGTTCATCAAAATCAAGGAATAAAAGTTAAAAGCGCAGAGCAAAAAGCTGAAACAAAAATTAGTATCGTATGGAATTTTCTAAAATATGATAAAATACAATAGAGGAAAATATTTAGCAATTTTAAATGCAAAGGACAAAAACCCCCATTGTAGCAAATAGTGAATTCATAAAACGGTATGCTAACAAACAATACAGTTTTTAATTTATTTGTTGAGCCGTAAAACACTTTGAACAATTTAATATATGATAAATAAAATAAGACTTATGAAATCAAAGATTTCTCGATTACTTCATAGGGTTCCAACCTTGAAGTTACAGCTATGTGTGTGGAACCTTGAGAACTAGTAAGTGAGTAATCGCTTTAGCTCAGGAAACAGAAACGTAAACTCAAGAAGGGTTAGTTAATTACCCTTTATTGCTCAAAATAAGTATTAACATTAAAATAAGGATTACATTGAACACAAACATTGCACTACAGATACGGACTTATATTACGAGTACTGGTATAAAATATTGCCAAAGCAATGTGGCATAGGTCATAACTCATACATGCAAGTACAATTGTTAGAACTGTTACACATGCGTTACATAGTATGTAGTACAAATGCAATTCAAGTAATATAAGGGTTCAAGTAGCTAATGATAACAAGTAATGGTTATTCATATTCATATTGATGCGATTTCGTTCCAAGATTCCGTTATCGTGATTACACTTGTGATAACCAATTTCTATGTTGACATACACAAAACTTAATATACATTTATACAACAACAACAAAAAAAAAAAAAGAGGTATTGACATTCACAGAAAAAAAAAAAAAAAGAGAGAGTTTATATTAATAAATAATATCAATTTTTTTTTAAAAACTACAAGCTATTTACATTAACCCTTAGCGCTCCGTTAGCTCCGCTGCGGAGCCGTCCGTCATTTGTTGCGTAACTCCGTAGGCTCCACTGCGGAGCCCAATGTTTTTAGCATGATTAGGCTTAAGATGTTACGGAGTCGTCAGCGTTGGCAATTGTTACCTGTAGTTAAAACGTGCTCAGTCTCGCTACTGTTACGATTGTAACATTATTTGACCCATTTTATGGTTAGCAACATGGAGAAAAATAATTATTGTGATGAGAATACAGAGTTGAGTTATAGTGAAGATGTGTTTTATTTTTCATTGTTAGATGATATATTGCGGAAGACAATGGTGATCATAATTCTGACACGTCAAGTAATGGTTCGAAATTATACTACCAAAGAGACGACGAATGGTAGTTATTGAAAGTGAAAGCGAAGAGTCGCCGGAAGACTTAGATGAATGGCGCGATGTCACGGAAGAATTAGATATTCCGGATAGAATACATTTTAGTGTATCGCCAAAGGTGAATTACAAAATTTAAAATTTACTTTTCATTTACAAGAAGAAGGTGCATATGTATAAAATAAATAAAATCAAAAACATTCACAAGCACGTGTATTTCTTCTCACTTAAATTAAAACTCCTTCTTCACACTCGTTCCGCTTCGAAAATGTGCCGGAGTTGCTGGTAGGCAGTGGTACAAAAACGTGCTGAGCGCTAAAGGTTAAATACAATAGTAACTTATTTAGTTTCACTTCTTGTGCTGTTGGCACGATTTAAAATTCCAAATCAATATTTAAATGTAATCTAAGGTAGCTATGCCTACTTCTAACTTCTCTAGCATCGTTTTCGCTTGCTTAAATTTGGTGAGGAGTTCTTTAGCTTTTTACGCATGGTTTTTCATCCATTCAAAAAATGAGAGGTTTGTAGCCTTTTTCTTCCATGTAACGAAATCAGTGAAATTTCGACTTAAGTACCGCTCTTCGTTCATTTACATTAACCGCGATTCTCAAAACACACTCTGGCAGGAAATTTGTAAGCTGAAATTAGGAGTGACAGGAAAGTAGCTTTAAACTAAAGATAACTGTTAAAGACTTAGGATAAACCTTACAACTTAATAAAGCTAACTTCTCCTACATAAAAATATAAATAAATATGAAATACAAAAAGAGTCAGGAATTGGGTTATATTTATTTGTAACATTTTTTTATTGAAATGTATATAAATTTAAAATTTGATAGAAAATAATTTGGGACATTTTTTTTAAATATTTGAACGAGTCACGTAACACTACTTTAATCGATTCTTAGAAACACAGGAAAACTATGAAATTTTGACAAATATTTTCAGCCATGTCTACTTACGTTTGAGTCGGATATTGAAGTCATCTTGAATTTCGAAGAAGAGGAAATGTATGAACTGCCATCACTTATGGCATGCCTTTTTAACCAACCACCACAGGCAAATTGATAGAAGTCGTCACAAGGTTCCACGCTACTGTTTAAATTGAACAAGATGTCGGCAACTGCAAGGTAGCGAAATACTTATTTTAGCATTGTTTGAAAAGCAAGAAGAATTTGAGAACAAGTTATAGCAGCCAAAATAAACTGCTCAGGAAAATAAATTTCTAGCTCGAAGAATAAAGCTGACATACATCCTACGCCTCACTCCCCTCCTATGCCTTCTATGTCTGACACTCTTGAAGATCTACGGCATCGAGTTATTGAAGCAGTGAATTCGATAACCAAAGACCAGCTGATTCGTGTGTGGCAAGAAATGAGCCACCGTTTTGACATTTGTCGTGTACCACACGGGGCTCATATTCAATGCATACCATAATTGTAAACTTTTCTCTATCCATTAACGTTAGAATCATGTTTCTGTCTTTTGTAGTTTGAAATCTGCTCTTCCTTTTTGAATAACCCTATACATTTCATTCTATGGAAACTTAAATGGCGAGCTTTATTCTATAACAAAAAAAATCCCTAAAATTCAGCAATATCTCTGTAAATAAGTACTTTTTAATAAAGCAGTTGGGAGGGGGAAACGTGGTGTTTCTGTTTAACACTACCTGGGACGCTGCATTCCAAAAGATTAGAATAACTGATAATCATCCTCCAACAGGTTAAGGATTACGAGTTTCTATGAAGCAGAAATCAAGGAGCGACATAATACTTCAAAACTGTCAATATGAACAGCTAAATATATGAATGTTACCTGATTTGAGGCACATGGGTTTGAAGCAGGTATCAGTACAGTCGTTGGGGCCATGCTCTGCCTTTACTGCATCCAGTGGGATATCGGAAACGTTTTCTGAAGAGTTTCTGGGAAGAAGCATTACGTTTGCTACACTCGGTGAAATGTCTGTAACATATTCTGAAGAGTTCTTGGGGAGAGGCTCTGCGTTTTCTACAACCGGTGAAATGTCAGTAACTTGAATTGAATCTGTAACAGAATTCACTTATGGTTTACGTCTGTGATATAGAAAATACATGCAAATATAAAAATTAACAATGAAATGAATATGTAGGTTGGTATTATCTTTTTTTTTTTTTTTTTTTTTTTTTTAGTCCAAAGGGATTTGAATCCCGAAGGACTATTAGTTTCGTTTTGGCATTTTGCGTCGGACTCATAAATGTCGGTTCACTTTTCAAACTGTTGCCACAAAATGTTAGAGTCCTGCATTATATTTGAAGAAATTAAATAATGAAAAATCTGCATAAATGTATGTATATTTCTCGTATTGTGATAAAACAACGGTACATAGAGTCATCGAATTTTGAATAACGTAATCCTCCAACGAATATGAGCATGTGGAAGACCAAATTTGAAAATTTGAAATTTGTTTTATGATCGATTTCCTATTTTTTAAAACTTTGACGAATTTTTGATTAACAAACTCAAGGATTTCAAAGCGAGCAATGGCAACGTTGTGCAGAAAAAACATTTTATCTCCAGCGCGTGAGTCTCTGTATCGGAAATTCTAAAGATATGCTCGTTTTAAAACTATTTTGCGATATTGCTGTTGCACTGGATCTTATGGTTTAAGTGCGAGGAACATGATATTTAATAAAGAAAGGTAACACACAAAATGTTAAAAAAACGCCCCTTTGGACGTAATTTAAAATCTAAAACATTTCAGATTTTTTTTTTTTTTTTTTTTTTTTCTTTTTTTTTTTTTTTTTTTGTAAAAGAAAAATTTTAGAAGCATGATACAGGTAATGGGGGACACCAGCGATGTACCATAGGTCAACTGGTAATGCCTTCCCATACTAACTCTTTGAAAAAAAAAGGGGGGGAATTGCAAGTTTCATAAGTATTTGCATAGACTGAAGCTTTCTAAAAGGTCTAGAGTTTGCCCATTATGGTACATCGTGCAACCCCACAGTACGCCCCGCATCCAGTATTTATTCAAAATAAGGATGTAGAGCATAAGTAGATTACAAAATAGTCGGAATACAATTTGAGATTCACAAGATAAATAATACATCTTGTGCATGACACAGTATCTCTTATGTTGGTGCACAATTAAGGACGTTTCTAGGTATAGGCCTTGTTTCCATTAAAAGTTCTATACTACCAGTGAATGGCGCTATTCAGCTTTCGAGACAGAAATAAAGAGATACCAAATTTTTGTTGTACTTTGATATACTTGTCGATGTGAAACTCCAGACTACTTCCTATGACGACACATATGCTCGCACCAGCCTCATCAGAAACTGAACATAGAGCGTGATATAAGTCATAACTTAATGCCATGCTCAAAGCTACCCCCCCTCCCCGCAGAAAAAGAAATTTATTTTCAACTTTAAACTACTACTGTTTTCTTTCTACCTTTATCTCTGCCTTTTCGTTTTTTAATTACTCGATATGCCCAAGATTGGGGTTTTTATCATCAATCGTGATAACAGAAAGAATTACACATGCACTTTATTAAAAACAAATATTACGTGTATGAGGTAACTGAAATTGTATTTTCAACTAAGTTTCAACTAAGTTCAACTAAGTTTCAACTAAGTTCAACTATTTTCAACTAAGTTCAACTTCAAATTATCCTAATGATTCTACAGTGGCGCCCGAATTAAAAGGTGGTGGACAATAACTCGTCATCATCAGGATTTGACGACTGGGTCCTCTAATCCCCAGTCGCTCTTTAAAAGGAGAAGTATATGAGGTATTTTCTCCTTCAAGTCTATTAAAAAAATTAGTGAATTGGTATACTACATACTGTATGACATAACTGGACTGTATGTGATATTATATAAGGAGCTATATATGGTTAAGGCCCACCAGCGGCCGAGTGGTAAAGTCGCTGAACACTGGTAGTTCGGTCCGAGGTTCGAATCCCGCGAACGGGCTGGCTGCATGGGCGTTTCCGTGGTTTTCCCCATATGTAACATGTATACGAGCCAGTTTCCCTTAGAAAGTCCTCCACGAAGGCATTTCTCACCTTACGCAGATAGCCCTCGAGGTTTTTCCATAATCACAGACACACACACACGCTATATGTGGTTTCAGCTCACACTTATTAAGAGAGATAATCTAAATTGTGCGTTTTTAAAGTTACCATCTTACTCATCAATCGTGATAACAGAAAGAATTACACATGCACTTTATTAAAAACAAATATTACGTGTATGAGATAACTTAAATTGTATTTTCAACTAAGTTTCAACTAAGTTCAACCTGCTTGAGGCTCTGGCAACCATTCTTCCATGAAATTCATGGACAAGACAACAACAGCTAGACTTAAGAAAAAAAGAAAGAGAAAGAAAGGAAACAGTTAAACCTTACTTACTCTAGCATTAGTCTAGCGTCATTACCTGCTTACATAAAAGAAAAACTGAAGACATTCACATAAAAGAAATTTCATAAGGTTCAAAATAATCTAATGACTCTGCAACAAGTACAGTAAAAAATTCAAAATTTTGAAAAGCATCTAAACAGTGTTTAAGAATCCTGTGATAATAGGATCTTTAAACACTGTTTACCGTGTACTCTGTTACGGTTAAAATAAGATAAATTTCTCACCTTAGTTTAGTTTGCTTTTGTTAACGCCGTAGAGTCATTAAGTTATTTCGAAACAGAAGGCATAAAAATGAGTAATACCCTCTCCAGGACTCAAACCTGGAATTCTCAAATACGGGCCGAGTTTGCTATTGTTACACCACGAAGGCATCCCGGAAGGAGAGAGAAAAAACCTTACATACTCCCCCTTTTAAAGCGCGACTGGGAATTAGGGGATTCAGTCGCCAAATCCAGGTGGTGACGAATTATTATCCACCACCTTTTATTTCGGGCGCCACAGTACAGCCACTAGGATTTTTTGTTGCAGGAGACATGAAAAATGAGCAATGCCCTTGTCGGAACTCGAACCTGGACCTCTCGAATATGCGTCAAGTGTGCTACCTTTACACCACGAAGGCATGACGTATGAAAGAACATAATACCTTGTAATGCAAAACGTACTTAATAAGTGTTAAAATGTATTATAAATTTATTTAATTCAGCAATATACCACATTTGTGTTATGCGCATAACAACGTAATTATCGCGTTAACTCTCATATGGAGCAAGTTTTATTAGTACACAGTGAACGTGACTTCGAAATGAAGCAATTTTCTATTAATTCATGGTAACTTATTAATTATTAGTCACCATAAAATTAGTTAACTACATATTTCAGTCATTGTATTTCTTTTTTTATTCAGCTCTTTTAATTACGTCATGCTGATAAATGTGAGCGAACGTTGAATGAAAGCATATATGTTGCTGTAGTAATTAATAACCATAATATAAATTCATGACACTTCCTATGAAAGATAACTGTATAACTAGATAGATAACTAGTTAACTGTCCGTTGAAAATTACGATTCTTCATCTATCGATTAATTTAATGTTTTACTTTTTTTTTTTTTTTTTTAGCTGGACCGAATGATCTGGAAAAGAGGGTCACCAAGCAGTTTCTAAAAGTGTAGAAAATTTTCTTTGATAGCAAATTATTAACATAGCCTTTTCTATCTGCCTCTGAAGTGTTTTACTCGTAAGAGCTAATATTTTTGTTATCAGACGTTTTTACGTGAGATGATTCAGATTAACATGCTTAAAATTATTGATAGTTCAACTTCGATAAACCCTTAGGTTTTCGAAGGGTTTCAGATAAGCAAGCATAAGGTCTAGACCTAAGGGTTTCAGATAAAGAAGTATGCCCTTACGAGCAAAATATATGAAGTTTCGCTATGTTTCCAAGGTTTGTTAGGAAAATTTAATTTTGAAGTAGTATTTGCCTCTAGAACACTAGGATGCAAATCATTCATTCAGTAATTAAATTTTGAGGCTTTACCACATTATAAAAATAATGTCAAAGTACATGCTTGCTAATACCACGAAAACAAAATTATAACCAGTTCCGTTAATGAAATCTGTCTATGATGACTGATGAGGTGGGAACATCTTTGTCATCATAAAGCATTATGGAAAAATAATATCTCTGCTTATTTTTAACAGCAGGATAATTTGATAACATCTGTTCCAGGCGGTCCACTCCTTCCATTTTGTTGTTGTAATCTTTTACAATTACTGGTTTTTTTAAAGTTCTTTTCCGTGTTCCAACATCAATCATCGAGTTATTATGGACTGTACTCATCAAACGTATATCCTTCTTGTCTTTCCAATTCACAACCTCATCTTTTCTCTTTTTCTGCTGAGTAGACGTTGAAGCCATCTCTCACTGTCCTGTATCTTATGTAAAATGGCGCGAATATTCATAAAACTCGGGGAAAATTCAATAAGAAATAGAATGCCTGATTAGGGCTGCCCTCTAGGAGGTATTAGAACAAACAAAAATAAAAACTGAAACAAGTAAACATTTAGAAAGCGTTTTAAACGTTTAAAAGTTTTAAAATGTAGAAGAACGCTTGTAGCGCGTTGCGGCCGCCCTGCGGAAGTTTCACTTGAACACGCTAGACGCGTTACGGAGAACGAAGAGGTTAAAGGTTTCAAGATGAAATATCTAGTTTAAAATTTTATTTATACGAAGTTCTGTATTAATGTGCGTTAAATAGTTACAGGTTTAATATTTTACTGAGGTACAACATTATTTTAAGAATGCTTAGTGTTTTATTATCGGATGGATCTCATCAGCGTTCTATAAATTCTTCAAAACATACATTTTTTATGTCCCTTAAAACTGATATTTAAAATAATTACGGTGTGTTAATAAAATTATATTTGGTTTAAAATATGTGTTATCATTATATTTATCTGAAATAAAAAATGTAATAAACAAGATTTGTCTCATTATACTTTTCTGACCTTATTTACTGAAGTCTATTCATTTTATGGCATTAAGATAATACAGTATTAAAATACATTGGGGGAATTTGTAAGAGAGGGTGGAACGGAATTATTTTAAAAGGGAAGTTTACGAGTACTTCCTATTACAGTCTTATTAAGGGGTAGGCAAGAGAGGAAAGGTTCGGAAACACTGTCCTGTACGAATGCATGTGACAGGTGAGAGCGGATCCGGACACCCGGGTGGTTTACTAGGACTATTCGTGTATCG